CAACCGACATAAGAAATCACCGCCAACTCTGGATATAGAAACCTTAGAAATGAGACCCGGAAACTCCAGAAAACAGCCCTCCTAGGATCCTACAAACAAGTAAATTCTACCACCATTTCCTCTTCTTCCCCCCAAACAAACCATTCAAATCCCAGCTCTTAACTTTCTCCAAGGCTGTCTTTTTTAAATCCCCATTCTTTACCGTCTCCCAAATACCCTTCTTCTCTACTACCCCTTGCGTGACATACCCCACCCCAGCCGCCATGAAAGTTTCCTTAGCCAGCCCAGCTGCCCTGCAAAAGTTCAAAACCATCCCTTTCACCCCTCTATAGTTACTCGGTGCCGTCTTTAGCCTACTCGGTGCCGCCACCTTCGACAAGTTCGACTGTGGAACATGCGCATGCTTAGGGCTATATAGCAAGAAGTCAGCATCCAAACTTCATATCAGACACATGCTAGAACTGGGTGCCTTCAATCAAAAATACACACCTCCGATTAACCTGCCCCCCCATAGTAAAAGGCTTCCACCCAGCCCCCAAGACCACAAGAATGATCGCGATAAGGACTACCACAATCGCCCCAACAGTCCATAACATCCATTCCAATCTTTCCTTCTCATCTTCTTCCTCCCTATACCCAGTTATCTCTTCCATTGAATACCCTTCCATATCATCCATTCCAGTATCAATCTGCATGGTGTCTAATCGATGAAACAACTCCTCGGAGTCATGATCAGGGTCCTTGATGTCGTAAATAGCGTCTTCGGGGTTATAAAGGAGACCAATATCCTTATCTTCCTCTATAGGGATATACTTTTCTGTGGTTATTTGGTCGGTGGGGTATATAGTACTCCGTAGGTTCCTAACAGATTCAAGGACTGGATCTGTTGCCCACTGTTCGAGAAGCTCTTCTTCTTCGTCATCGGTTGTAGGATTATACGGAATGACCACCTTCTTGCGGGGGAAAGTATGTCCTTTCAATTTTAAAAGTGGAAAATTCGGGTTTGCTGGGTTCTGCCGCTTTTCGTCGACTTCAGCGCCACTTTCACCTTCTCGCTCATAACTCTCCAAGTCCTCGATCGCGGGGGTTACAGCCCCATGATGGAGGACTGCATCTCTCTCTTCTTCTTCTTCCAACGGCTCTAATCTTTGTCTTTGTTCTGGCTCGGGAGACGAAGATACTCTGGCCACAGGTATCGGCGTGGATTTCCTAGAATTTTTCTTTGGCGGTTCCCGGATACTACATATCGTGTACGCTGGCTGCTCCACAAATTCAGAGACTTCATCATCGTCTTTGAACTTAATTTTCCGTCTTGGTAAAGCTTTCTCTTTCACTGGTTCGGGCTTTTTGAGAGTTGGTTTCACCAGAGGTGGCCGTAGCTTCGGGGCTGATTTATTTGTGTTCTTCATCATCTTTCTGGGGTTGATTGGGCTGGTAGTTCTCTTCTACAGGTTATTTATACTATATAGTGGTAAGTCTAGGATTATCACGAAGTATTAAGTCAAATCAGTGATATTCCAAGGTTAGGAGGCTTCCGTATGTCGTATTACAGGCGGATAGGGAGTCTGGAGATCTCAAGTTCGCGGGGAAGGGGCGATGATACCCACTAAGTACTTCGGTAGTTAACATGGATCAATATCGTAAGAACTTTCTATTTAATCGTTTCATGATGCCACATACGAAACAAAAGTTTTACATATTGTGTCGTGTCAACCATACCGTATTATACAAGAATGTAAACAATGAAGAAAACTATCAGGGGGGGGGGAAACAAATGAAGGCAACACCCAGAAGAGAAAAAGTCCATACCCCATATTAACCTTCAAAGAGATAACACCGTGATCGAGAGAGATTAGATGTATGTGTGTTCTAATCACGTGAGCAGCCGAAAACAGGGCTAATTTCTTCTCGGACCGACCGTTGGGTTCAAGAACTCTTGTTGTTTCTTTTGAAGAGCACTGAGTTGATCCGTCATACTGACGGACTGCAGCTGTTGCAATCTGACTGCCTCTCTACTGTCGGCATGGCCATCCCATGCAATAACTGGCTTCTTCCTTCTCTCATCTCCTTCGTCTGTGACACCAGGCTGAACATCGAATAAATCGGCACGCTGACTTGCTAACCGTTTCAAATTTGCTGCAACGTCTGTGGTAGAAAGATTTGTTGTCGAGTACTTGGCGTCGGCGCGGGCTCTTTGTTCTTTCCAGCGAGGGTCCAGAAGTTCAACTATAGTGCAAACAAAGAATTAGTAACCATTATATTCACACCAAATCGAACGACTTGGAAATGATGCCGACTTTGGGGGGGGAACTTACTTCTCATATGCTGCTCCAGCTCATCAAGTGGAATAGGCTGTTTACAGTTAGGGCATATGGTTGTCTGTGCTGCACCGCGCCTGTTCGCTGCAGCTGTCGCTGCCCGAGGTACATAATCGCTCCTGATTTTCATGGGTGCTGTGCCACCTTGAGCCTCAGCTCTAGCCTGCTCAGCACGAGCCTGTGCCTCCCGTCTCTCGCGTATTCTTGCCATTTCCTCATCCTCGTTATCAGAATCTGGTTCCATAGCCACATCCATGGTCTCGTCTTCCTCTTCTTCTTCCTGCATCGGCTCCGGAATATAAGTTCCAGAATCATAATCTTCGGCTGTTGGCATCGCTTCTTCGATGCGGAGTTGATTGCTATTCAACGACATCAGTGCCTTTTGCTCCAAGGAGGCATGTTGAAGGTCGGAAAGTGAAGTCGGGGGAGGTAAATCGGCGTGATCGTCGGCTTCTGTGAATGTGATGGTTTCAACGATAGCAAAGTCATGCCAATCAATCTGTGCGTATGCCAATTTCTCCTTGTCTTCCTCCTCTTCCATCTTCTTCTTTTCTTCCTCTTGATGCTTCACCCACTCCGACCTCTGTTTAGCAGCATCTATCAGCTGGAATTTATCACCAAAGTTCTTCCTCAGCTGTTCCATTCGCTCATCCTTGTCGGTAGGGCTAAGAATGAGGGTGTATTGGTCGACAAGGCGGGTAAAGTATTGGTAGAAGGAGTGATTCGGCCGTAGGAAATCGAATTGATAATTCCGCGCCTCGCGCTGTGATAAAGTCGTCATGAACTGTCTGCCATTCTTCGCAACGAATAAGGCTGTCAATCGCAGCACATCCCTACATCCACAATTAGCTTCCACTCAATACCCCATAGCAACAGTGATGTAGCCAAACTTACAAATCTTGTGCGCTGATAGCTGGCATTCTCGCCGAGAACTGGAATTCGGGCGGTGGGGTCGGTCCAGGCGCCGGTTCGGGTTCTGGGGCAGGAGCTGCACCACCATCAGTACGACCAGCCGCGACGGCGGTTGATCTTCCCGCACGCGTTTCTTCGAGGCGCCATACGTAGAACGGATTATACGGGTCTCCAGGAGTCAAAAATGAAAACTTGGGGTTCGTTCGTTCCTTATCACGGATTCTCACTACATGTGTCGGGTTAGTATCGAACGGATGTTATGGCGAAGTGGGCAGGACGTACTCTCGAAGGCTTCGCCATTTCGGGCGACATATCCTGCAGTTTTCTCAACAATGGCTATTAGGTAGCCAGGCGTTAGCATAATTTCCTTCAGCCTAATATGAAACTATCAGACACACGGGCGGTGAAGACAGAATGTGGTTATGAACAACGTACCTCGAATTTCCTTGGGCGGTAGCACGACGCCTGCTGGAGCTTTTGCCGCCTCCTCGTTGGAGACAATGGTAATCGGAGGCGGAACATCAGCGGCGGAAGGGGCCATATTTGATAATAAAAGGTATTAAAATTACGGCGACTGTGAATTCGAAGGCGCAATTGTGGAGTCGACGGGATGATATTTAATGAGGAGATGTTGACGGGTTGGGGAAGACGTGATGTGTAGGAAACGATGACCCATGTTCAAGATTTCGAGGTTTGCCAAGCCTTCGCGCAATTGGTTAGCGAGAAATAGATGCAACACACGAAATCCAACATTCTAGCCTCAAGCCTTGAAAATAGCACCATCCCGAGACCAGCCTAAATGCTGACCATATCGGCGTTACCTTCAATACAAACATCTAGCTCGAATGTCCCGAGATATATAGATATTATTACAGCTCCACGACATACCTGAAATTGTTGAAAGATCAAAATGCCAACCACATGAATATAGGTACTTAAGTTGGCATATGCATATATACGCACAGTATACCAATAAGATCACAAATATATTAATAAAATATCCGATTTCGACCTAGGCCTAGGTGATTTTAAACTCATTGTGGGGCCAGCTCGGTATCCTACCGTAGGCCCTAGACAAAAAAGGGGCGAATAATCATACTATTGGCAGATAGGTAGCTAACTCTCCATATCACTGTTGTGTAAGGCAGGTACCGGGCCAGTCATCACTGGTCTACTAATCAGATGTCGCACCAATTCAGCCCTACCTGGTTAGTCAACAGATTAGGAGCCTTATCATGGTATATAGACAGATCGATAAATTTTCTGCCCCGCTATATGTCCGGGCGTTTAAATTTTAAGTGCAAACTATCTTAGGATATGGAGGCACTCCTCGACCATAATATCATATTTCCCATTCTATCTCAATCATGCGATATGCGCATGCGTCTAAGTCGAGAACTTCGGGGCCAGGATCTATGCACCTACAGTACTAAGTTGCCAATATATTAAGATTGATTTGGGTACGCTATGTCGGGTAATCGATCGTAGGTGTAGCCGCCCCTAAGAAGGATGCACTAGTCGAGCCATTACACTGAAGCCCCCACATAATACGCGTTATATCTGCTTATTTTTCACATATCGAGAGCTAATATCAGTCCTGGTCTCGTTTATCAGCCCTACAGGCCAGCAACCGTATTCGAGCAGAAATTCTCTATGAACCAGTCCCCAGGGGGTAAATCTGGACAAATCAAGACTAATCTGCTTCCTCAGAATTCAAAGCCCTCTGCTGCTAGCGTCGTAGCTGCAAAATCCAGACCTCGTGACATCAATGGTCTCTTAGCTCAGTTGGTTAGAGCGTCGTGCTAATAGGAAATCAAATCCTGTAACGCGAAGGCCAGAGGTTCGAGCCCTCTATGGACCAGCGATTCTATCTTTTTGCACGTTTCTTGCGACGCCTGGCTGTGAATCACTTGAGTCATTGTCGATCCAAATCCTTTTTTTTTTTCGGCATCTGCGAGGTGTGCAAAAGAACTCATAAGTTACAAATTTGGCAGGTGGCTTCGTATCGATCTGCTGGGCAAGGGACGATAGATCTGCTCCGATTCAAGCACAGGGCAGGTCTATTTCGTAGTCCCGTGCTAACCCCCAATCTCAATCCTGTTCTTCAAAACCCGGTTCCGAGACACTAAAATACCAGGGCTTCAAAGAAAATTTTCGAAATCCATGAAAAATTGCCATGTCTAATTGCAATTCACAAACGCTAGTTCAGCGTGACCTCCAAGAAATGTGTTGGGTTGGGAGTTCCCGAATGTTGGATATTGTACTAGCAACACAGAATGGCAGCCTGCTTAAAATTAACCTGTCTTAAAGAATGGCGATGGCACTTGTACCTGGAGGTAACACAGTTTGATGTTGCTATTGCTCCTACGTTAGCATCATATCCTTTCAGGCTGTGACACACGTGTCATGCCGGAACGGTTGGCCGTCGATTGATTGATTCTTGTGCCTGAATGTTTCGGGGGCACGAGTAAGATATCGTGTTTGATAGCCGGCCTGGGAAATTGATATGTCTATGACATGACGTCGGCAGGATCAGGGATATATGCGAATATCGGGTAAGGATGAGATAAGATTCAACAATAGCACACAACTTGGATTGGGATTAAAGGGTAAGCTTAGTGTCCGAGGTATCTCGAAAAGGACGAATCCTAAACCTACTCAGCCAAGAGCCTTCTAGGCCTAGATTGTAGGAGCGTGTTACCTATCTCGCGAGTCATGATGATCTTAGATGCATTAGAGAGTTACTTTCTGATAAGCTTACTTCTAGCTAGAATGGAACGTATTCGTAAGGTTGCGCTCGACAGAAAGTTGCTTCTTGAAGATGCATCTGCGGCACGGTATGACCCGTATAAAATATGAAATCGGATATTTCCGAAAATAGAGCAATTTTGTGATCTAGATTCAAAGACGAGTTATGCATTTCCTGAAAAGTTTATGGGACAGCTGACGGTTTAACAGGTACCTTCGGATAGGATACACGACCACGCCGTGTTGGAAGTCCAACTTCGTTATAAACGTTTTGCAACCAGTCAAACTGCAATAAACGGTCGTGAAGGATCCCAAATCCTGACTTGGGTTGACCGGTACGCGTGCTACCGTTGTATGTCATGGGCACCCCGAACATCTGTGCAAGTATTAAGTTTGAACCACATACCGGGGGAACTAAATCTCAGACCATTATTTCCGAAGTTGAAGGACCCATGTTGATTGTGAACCCACCATAGACCCAGCACAAGGGTTCATTTTCGTAGTTTCGAAGAGACCAACACCTCCTAATTCAGCTTGTTTTTGTGGCTTCAGCTGAGATCAAAGCACGATGCATCCGAGCTACGAAAACTGCAACCCAGATCCCAGCACAATGCATTTTCGTTTACTGAAGCAAGCGAGTCCATCCGATTGATGGAATCGGATCTAAATGGCAACGAATGGCGAAGCTCCCAGCCCAATCATATTAACCCTTTGGCGCATTCTTCGATATCACAGACGAATACGAGAGATTCCGATAAGTCGACAGTCACCTATCACGAGTTTCTGTATGTCACCCAAAATCGCCGACCAGAGATTACATCATGACTTATGCATGCCGAGCCGGTCTAACAGATGGTTTGAGTTTCTCGTGCTTATTTTGTCCCACGTTGACCAAATTTTGGTCGAGTGCAGTACAACTCGAAACGATGGGATGATCCCAGACCGACTGTGGCACTAACCAAGCAGGCTGCCGCTAGAGGCTTGGCTACCCAGCAGGCTGGGGAGAATGCGCCAACCAGGGCAAGTCGACGAATGGGAAAGCGAGTAGACCCACTGGTGGCCGACCGCTTTTGGAGGTTACCCGGAGTTGGGAAGGATTGATTGGGTGGATCGGTTTGCCCCTTGTTCCTGACGCTAACCCTCAGAGTCGTCGATGGGAAGGTTTTCGCACAAGAAGACACGCTTCCAGAAGGCGATATGAGGGAAACATTCGAGCCGGCGGGTCATCGTTTGGTGAAACGTCGACGGATGGTATGGCAATCGCAACATAAAAGCATCACGGGATGCGAATTTGCGATTTTTCTTGCAAGATGCAATATTTGTGCGCGCTTCGTGATGTGGAAGACCCCATGACACTTCTGAAGCTTTCCCGCAGGGTCGAACCGGGTTGGATGAATCCGTGCATGAAGCAGCGTCCTTTCTCATGTCGGCATCCCTTTTTTGACGAGATTTCCCGTTCTGTCGAAAACAAAGCCAGGAGGGCGGACGAGGTAGCGCGTGGGACAATAGAACGAAAGAAAGGATTGATTGATTGTCAATGTCAACGTTCAATGTCGATTGTCCTCCTTTCTCCTTCCTCGTCGACGCTTTTGCTTTTCGAATCCTCATCGTGCAGAGCAAAAGAGGTTCGAAGACCCGGGCATAGTGCATACTGACTTCCTGAAGCTGTGTGCCATTCATTCTTTCAGCCCTCCTTCTTCTTCCTCTTTTCTAGCTGGCTTGCACCCCACATTCCTTTGGTCTCTTTTTTGCCTATAGACAGACGGACGCCGTCGTATCATACATACTATCAGTCAACCATCGCAAGTTTGCTACCACAGACCACCTTGCCTACCTAGCGTTCTTTTTGCTTTCCTTAAACCCGAACTTCAAGCTTTCGTATTCAAATTGGATCTAGTCCGGTGTGCTGAGCGGTGCAGCAGAGTCTCGTCAGCACGTACATTACATATCAGGCAGTGCGTCGAATTGATGATTTGATAATACTCACAGCATCTCCATCTACTCTATTCCGAGTGACAGCTGCATGAGAACAGAGCCCTGAAACACTCTTTTCCTCGCTCCCCTTCCTTTCCCTTTCCTTCTCGCTGCACTTTCCACCACCCTGCACTGCCCGGGCTTCTCACATTGAATCGACCTAGCAGAATATCCTTTGTGGGTTAGCTCTGAGAGTGTGGACGATCCTCACCCGCCTAAGATTTCTGGATGGGGCTTTTTCCTCATTCCCTTTTGCTGTGATTTGCTGCGATTTGCTGTGTGTGTGATTGGAACTCGCTTTGGCTGTGCGTCTCCTCAAATCAAATTTCGTTCCCCCCTGGCCAGAACATCGTCTTCAACTCAACTCAACCTCGCACCTCTCTCCTCTCTCATCTCTATCTCCTTCCATCAACCTTCATCTCCTCTTTCTCGACGCTCTTTTGGATAAACTGTCGAAAACCCGCGTTTTCACGACATTCCGATACCCGCCAGGCACCGAAGGAGATCCAAATCTGGTCTGGTCCGTGGATTCAAGGAGGATTTGCAGGAATAGTAAACCTGGTTTGGGACTAATCTTACCACCGACATTCATTATTTCTCCGTCGTCCAAAAACATATTACGAATACATCATCATTTCCAATTCACCCCGCTCTCGCTCTCGCTCGTTTTCTTCTTATCTTTTTCTCATTCTCACCAGATGAATCGTTTATGAAAAGTATGGCATCCAGTTCCAGCAGCATATTCGGCTCGTCGCCGACCCAGTCGAAGGCCCCGACTGGCGGCTTCTCTCTATCCCTGGCCGACTTACCACAGGACGATGGCGACAAACATTCGATAATCAGCAGTCGCATGACTGACATCAACAGCGAGTTTGGCGATGAGATCGATCAGGTTCCTGGCCTAACCTCGCCTCCTGGCTCGAATCGAAACTCGGCTCTGTCAGCCCTACACCCACCAACACTTGGTCGGCCAAACACAAGAATATCAATAGGAGACCCTCAAGCGGAAGCTGCGCTTACTACGAGGCCTAGCACGGCTACTAGTATGACTACGTCGAAATGGGGGGCTAGACCACGATCGAGGGGAGCTATGACACCGGTGGGAGGTAGTTTCAGAAGCTCCAATAGGCCACCCAGCGCCGCTAGCCGAACCCATGTTCCGTCGATCACCAGTCACGCTTTCTACAACCCTATGAGTTCGACAAAATTATCAGCACAACGTGGTAAAGTTTCGGAGGAAGGCGACCGACCGTCAATGTCTGAAATTACATCTGCACCGTTGCCGGCGATCACTCCATCAACAGAACAAGGCACAGCGTCCCCTCTAAAATCAGTCACCACTGGTCTCATCGGCCAGCCCCGTACATCATATGCACAAACTCCACATTCACTCGACAATCCCTTTGGTTTCCAAAACCCGGCGGTCATACACCACGGGAATTCGAATAGGACGTCCCTGCAAGCTCCAAGCGAGATGGATGAATCAAATCACTACAGATATAGCCTTGGAAGGCAGGCTACAGGATCTCCGACAAACCAGACCATCACATCTGCGTCTCCCTTGAGACAGGGCTCGAGGCGAAGCAATACGAATGAAGCTGTCGCCGGCCCAGCGAAGGAGGAACAAAGAGAAGCATCGCAGGGATCGAATATATCTCACAAGGCCGAAGTGCCCGTCTACGCTGGAAAGAATTACCAATATTTCCCCGGAAATACACTATTCTGTTTCGGGGGACGATGGCAAACCGCTAGAGATGCCCCGATAAATGTATTAACGGCGACACTAGTAGTTGTACCATCGGCTCTATTTTTTGGATTTAGCGCCCCTTGGTTATGGCTCAACGTCCACCCAGCTCTGCCAGTCACCTTTGGCTATATTTTCCTCGTCTGCATGAGCTCATTCATCAGGGCGTCTGTGACAGATCCCGGTATCTTCCCGCGAAATATCCATCCTCTTGAATACGAAGAAGGGGAGGACCCGTTGGCCGTTGGCCCGCCTGAAACGGGCTGGACTATGATCAAGCCCAATATGAGAAGAGGCAGCCAACCCCTTGAGGTCCCTGTCAAATATTGCAAGACATGTCGCATCTGGCGTCCGCCTCGCTGCCATCACTGTAGAGTCTGTGATAATTGCATCGA